AGGCCTCCGTGGCGGCGATGACCTCCTCATTCGGCCAAATTGGTCGAATTGGACTACGAACTGCTGCCCCATCCACCGTATTCTCCAGATTTGGCCCCGTGCGACTTTATTTTGTTTCCAAACTTGAAAAAGTCACTCGCCGGGCAGAAATTTGAGTCGAATGAGGAGGTCATCGCCGCCACGGAGGCCTTTGCAGACTTCGAGAAAACGTATTTTTCAGATGGGTTAAAGAAGTTGGAGCATCGCTGGGTCAAGTGTATCGAGCTAAAAGGAGACTATGTTGAGAAATAAATCGCCACTTTTCCAAAATTTTCGTTTTTCTTTTGTAGGCTAAGTACTTATCGGACCGCCCTCGTATATCTCGTCATTTAGCATACCTTAAAATTGCTTATCGACAGAAGAAAGGGATTATCATACGCGATTGTCTCATTTCTTCAAGCAAAGTTCAATTAAATTACCGACAAATCGCACGTTATGATGAACACGATTTGGTATGCGGCGGTATTTACGTTAATACGTTTGTATGTATTATATAAGAAGGTAAAATCATCTTCCCACCATTGCCCATGATGCGATGCGATTCGAGTGTAGTCGTATAATTGAAAGTCTGAAAAGTACTGATATTGAAATAAAATTTGATTACATAAATTTAATGTTTAATAAATGTAAATTAGTGAATAAAAATCGTTCAAATATATTGTATCTGAAATTGCAATAATTCCACCAAGGAAAAATATCATTTTTTTTTAATTTCGTAAAAATATATCAACCAGCATTTGAAATTCATGTCGTTTTGCAACGCAATTTGAATATTGGTGGACAATAGATGATTTTACCTTCTTTTATATTATTTTACGTGCGTTGACGGATTAAAAAGCTATCCGAGATAACATCGATGCGCGACATGTTATAACGTCTTTCTCTCGAATCGCGTCTTCTTTGATTAGCGTGATCATAGTTTCCAAACACGAGAGATCTCAAGTATTTTTAACGAAGGCGATCTTGCATTCGCAACATTTGATAATATTTCCTCGAAATTAAACGAAAACCCGTGTGATTTCTCGAATTGAACATTGCTCTCGAGGTCGACCAGGTACCGCAGACGCGATTCGATTCGTATCATTTTATATATTTCGAAAACGGTGAGAGATTATTTTATTTCGCTGCTTTCGTGGACGTCCCGCGATACTGTCGACGTATCAGCGGCATATCGGCGACTCAATTCGCTACTTAAGAGGTCAGATCATTTGGTGTCATCGACACAATGTAGCCAGCTGCTCTCGAGCGGTCTGTCAGGATCCAATCTCGATCTCGTTTATCCAGCTTTCTTTTTCGCGAGCGACAGACGAACGGGACTCTACTTCCGCGAACTCCAATGTAAAATAGATGCATCTGCGAATGACCGATTCACAGAAATACCGTGAGGTAACTCGGCTCTCTCTCTCTCTCTCTCTCTCTCCGTTTCTCTCTTTATCTCCCAAGTGAAAACGTTATCAAGATTCAAGTGCCGTAACTTTTCAACCAACAGACGAAAATATCACGTGTAATTTAGTGTGAGAAGAACGCTCGTCAACACTGATTTAAAAGAGAATAACAAATAAAATGAGACAATGTTGACATTGATAAGAGATTAATTTGAAATAATCGCTTTCTTTTATAGTAACAACTCACAGCCGTAAAATATCACCAGTGCAATACCGTATCCCGATATTTGGTCTATTCTTTTTAGCTGATCTGGCTGTTCTCCCAATTCAAGATATTTACGCATACTAAAGCGTGAGAATCTTATACGTACGCTGAATTTGCTTCA